ATTTAGGGACTAATTTCCCACTGGGATCAGCTTCATAGTCATGATAGGCCACTTCTTTGATTTTATTTATGTTGCTCAGGCTACTCGTAAGCCCACAGCCTGCCAATTGTTGAAAGGGCAATGTTATTGCCATTACTGTTCATATTTAGTAGACATTTTATGCATTCAGTCATAAAATGTCACAGGGGGATGGTATGGGAGGATGGTAATTTAAAAAGGGGGATGATTTTTAAGATTTTTTTTAAGAAAGGGGATGCCATCCCCCCTCACCTTGAGTACTGCTCACAACTTGAGTAAAGGATGCTCAATATTATTACAGATTTAGAGTTTATACAGTATTTATACTAACTGATTTCCTTTGCAAATTTCCCAATATCCAATTCATATTTATTGTATTTATAGTAAGTAACTTAACAAAAAGGCTTTAACGTTGCCTGGCGATGAATATTTATTAAATATAGTGTAAGTTTGAATTGACAGCGAATATAGTTCCTTGATCGATGTTTTTTTTTTTTTAAATGCTGATTATCTTAAAACTTCACAACTTAAAAAGGCAGTTTAAAGCTTTTATTTTGAAGGTAAGTGGCGCAGATCGGATGTTTTGATTTTCGTGGCGGGATGAACCTTGACTCTACTGTGCAACCACATTTGCTTTCCGATTCCGAACAAAATATTTTCGACTGCTTTAACTCAAAATAATTTAATATAATAATAATTGGTCTAATATGACTGAAAAAAAATTGTTAAATACAAGGAATAGCATCTACTGGATATTAAGACAGCAAAAATGTGTTAAACGCATCGTCTGTAATTCTATTGTGTGGAAAAATGCAAAAACTGTATACATGTCTCACACAGAAAAATTTTCAAATGTTATTTAGACTTGGTCTAGTTCGACTAATCCATGGAGAAGAGAGCAGAGACTCATCTTAAGTGCTCAAGAGGCTATATTTTAAGATTAATCACTTATTAATATTCCATTTATCGGGATGACATCCAATAGTAAAAAAAAAAACCTTGGGAAATTATCCTTTTTCCAATTTAACTGTTGCAAAGAATCAAAACAGAGACACTTCTATTGAACAGAACTTTGTCAATAACTGGGATAAGCATGACAGAAAATGGATAATGGATGGATGGGTGGGTGATATTCATCAATAAACAAATAGAAGGAATGATGTGGCTCAGGTCTGCTGAGCCTAAGACTGTCAAAACAATTAGATTGGATTTTTAAATCAAGATTGTTGTATCTTTTAAGCTTTAAAGTTTGATAATTGTATAATAATATCAATAAATTATTTTTTTTTATCATAATATTAGATAAAA